CTGCGGGGAGTGCGGGCGGCGGGAAGGACGGGAGCGCCCCGGGGGAGGGGCAGGGAGGGGCGCCGCCGAGACCCGGAGCGGCTCCGGGAGCTGCTGCGGTACGAACGGGCCGAGCGTAGGAACGCCGGGGAAAGGCTGGGGCGCCGAGGCTCGGCGCACGCGGTCCGCGCGGTGCGGAGGGTGAGCCGGACGCGGCCCGTGTGACGGCTCTGTGACGTCGCGTGCCCGGATGTTTAGGGCGGGGCCTGGCTCAGGAGGTGTTGAGTGAAAATGTGAACTGCTTACATTTGTTACTAATGATGTGAATAGTTTGTTACTGTAAATTGGCCGGATTTATGTTACTGGGAAGAAATATGAAGTTATTAGATGATACTACCTTTACAGTGCACATTTCTTCACATCTTTCAGCATCAGGGTCAGTTTAATTGGAAAGTATTCTGAGGCTTCAAAATAAGGGTTTAAAAAATGCTGCAGGCACGCGGCTATGTAAATCAGTTCTCCACGGTGGAAGGTACAGATCTCAGTCAAACGGAGGGGTTGATATAAACTAGTTGCCCCGCTTCGAATCTTAGTCATAATTGTTCGTGCTGATTCTGTGTTGTAAATTCAGTCACTAAGTAGATGCATACAAATAAAAATGATTTTAAAATTACAGTCTGCTCAGTCTTCTGACATGTATAAAAATTTTTAGTGTAATTAAGCTCTGTCTCGTCCTTTTTTTCTTATGAAGACTTTCCCCCATATCACTAAGAAGAAAACTCTAGCCTTATTACGCTTAACTTGCAATAGCTTTTAAGGTATTTAGCTTTTACATGTTTTCTTCAAGGCCACTGTTAGAAGGTTAAATAGCCAGATACTAGCAATACACAAAATGACTACAAAAGTTTAGAAAATTCTGAAATGAGGTTTAGGAGGTTTGGGATTTTGTGTGTGTGTGGTAGTGGGGATCAAACCCAAGGGCACCGTACCCCTGAGCTGTACCCCCAGCTTCCCTCCCCTTTTCTTAAATTCAGACTTAGGGTCTTGTTTAGTTGCCCCGGCTGGGCTTGAATTTGTGATCCTGCCTCAGTCTTCCAGGTGTGGGATTACAGGTGTGCCCCACCACAGCCAGCCTTTTTCCTTTGTAAATCACTTTGCATCTAAAAACTTGTTTCACTGAAGAAGTAATTCTTCACAACTATGTAAAGTGAGTATTTGTTTTACAGAAGCCATCTTATACCAAGAAAATACCCAAAGGGAAAACCTTCAAAACATATTTAGCTGTGGAGATTCAGCGACTGCAGCTGTCCACCCTTGAGAGCCTTAGTCAGTACCAGAAGTAACGGTGTGAATGTTGTCTTCTGAGTGGTTTCCCTTACAGGTTTAAAACTGCAGCTGCCTCCTGTGACAGGCAGTGCAGAATCTATAAAGGCTAGTATCGGTGTGTGTTTTTCCAGTAGGTGCGGATACTTCTCCCACGGGAATTGCCATACCCGTCCAGTGCGCACCGGATTCTGAAGTCCCTGCTCCGTTCCCTCAGTTACACACGCACCCATCCCTCACCTTCGCACTTCTGTCTTCATGCATTCACGCAGCACCGCCCCCGCACGCATACTCCTCCCACTGTACAAGAGCCCTGCACCAGCGCCCCCCACCGCAGGTATTCTGTTCCTCGCCGCACGCGGCCCTCTGTGACAGCATGCCAACCAGCCGCTCCACCAACCCACACACGTAACAAGTAGGGGTGCTTCCTTCCTTTTACCCACTATATTATGCAGTCTTCTACGTACATAGAGATATACCCACTCCCCCGGTGGTGTGCTGGGGATCAAACCCAGGGCTTCCCACACGCTAGGCAAGTATGTTACTACTGGCTCGATCCCTCGTCCTAAACCTTTTTATAGCCGAGCACCGATTGCATCCTAGGAAGGGCAGTCTTTCACTGCTTACTTACATATAGCAATCGTGTATATCTATACATGCACACACACATTTACCACCACACATACATGCGACATAGAACTATGTGAGGACCCTACCTTCCCATCCTTTGTTATAAGAAATAACGGACTAAAAATAACAGCTATTTATGATCTGGATAAGGGCTTTCCATTATGGTCTCAGAATTAAAATCGTATGCTTTTTAAGGAAGGCCGGCAAAGGTATCTGCATAGATGCTTGTGGGGTAAGAAGTAGCAACTTCATTGCGGGCCTGTTCTGTGATCAAAATTCCATTTTGGCTGACCGCACAGAGCATGCTGGCAAAGTGAAGCTGCTGATACTGCTGGGTTATTCCTGTTCCTCCTCTCAGGGCCTGTCAGCCAGCACTTACTTTGTGCACTCCAGAAGTACGTTGAGGACTAGGAATGGTCAGATGTAGTAACGTGCTGTCCCTCAAGACACTGTCTAGGAGCCAGCTAATGTGGGAAGGTAGAAAGCTAAGAAACTTGGGAAAGGGTGCCCTTACTTGTAGTAAACTACTGAAAAAACGTTTAGATGACCCAAGTAAGAAAATCATGAAATCCTGACTCTATGTCAAAATCATGTCAGCTCGCTTTCATAAGCTCTTGTTTGTTTGTTTGTTTGTTTGTTTGTTTGTTTTTGGTACCAGGAACTGAACTCACAACCTCACACTTGCCAGGCAGGTGCTGTGCCGCTGAACTAAATCCCCAGCCCTTCCATAAGCTCTTGCATGCATGTGCATGTGCATGCTCATTCTCGCTCTCCCTCTCTCCCCCGTTATCCTAAGGCTGAATTTCTTTAGAACTGGGTGTTACTGGAAGTTCCCATAGTTGTCCTATATTAGCTAAAACTAATGATCATGTTAGTGATCAAGACAAAATAAGCAAGACAAAAATGTCCTTTTCTTATAAAATAACACAATTTATTACTATTTTAAAACAAGTCTCACAAAATAACATTCAGCAACTCAATATTTCTAAATAATTTAACACACAATAACTTTAGTCATAAAGTCATGCTACAAAACTTCTGTGTATAAAAGATTATTACCAAAGTATTAATAGATGTTAAAATGCTCTTTGGAATGGAATTGGTTCTAAAAGCCAAAGATCCTGGAGTGAAGCTCATGATCGCACTGGTGGTCTGGGAGAAGCAGGTGGACATACGAAATATGTTCTCTTCTGCATCTAACGCAGAGTCTTGACGGGAGTGAGCGCTGTAGGCAGCAGCGCCTTGGAGGCAGGTACTTCCTACTGATCAGAGAAGCAGAGTGCCCCCAACCAATGTAAACCAGCAACAACTTAATGCAGACAACATCTAAGTTTTAAAAATCTGGGTTTGGGAAGATGACTCACAAGTGTCTGAGTAGGAGAATTACTTGATACATCCTCCAGAGGGATGATGTGGGATACAGCAGATATCGAAGACTCGAGGAGGGAAATCAGGATATCCTGGCTCTGCTCATGCTGGCTTGGAATGATCAAGGGTGCGGCTTGATTCTCTAATGTCCATGTGCAGGCTCGGTATTTATCCACCTGCTCTTTGGAAGTACTTTCCACAAACATCCAGTTCAGAATTTTAAAGTGCAAATCTACTGAAAGCAGTTTACTCCCCCCACCACGCACCCCTGTTAAATTTGCTGGATTGTAATTTGGTTGGCTGGTTTCCCTCTAACCTGCCCAACATGGGGATAACCTAGAATCTAACTAGGACTTCTGTAAGTGTCAAGTATCAAACTTATTTTAGGTCAGAAGAAGAGTCTAGTTTTTCTTTTCAGTTTTCTTCTTTTGCACTCATCCATTAATAAAAGGTAGGAATAGATACATTGATATGGTATTTCTAAAAGCTCAGTGATTTTAAATGTAACTCTTAATGGTTTAAGTTTCACCTATTTTACAGTTTTACAAAAGGAAGCAGTATGACATGCTACAGTAAAAGGAAAGGGACAGTCAAGTTAGCTGTGTCAGAAGCACCAACTCTGCTACCCTGAATCTTGTCTCATCATTTACAGACACACTGCAAGGCCCAGATTAAGAAAGCGTGTGCCAAAGGGACGAACTCCTGGTGAAGGATAACTTGAGTTTAACAGTTTTCTCCCTTTGCCGATACTTACGATGTGTAAGGTCTTGGTGAACCACAGATCTGACTGCACTCAGGATACTGACTACTCGTGACAGATGCTGTGACACTTCCTACAGCGGTCTAAAGTGAATGGCTGAATTCAGCCTTTCTGGGCTGGCCCTCTGCTTTTCCACTGAGCCCTCAGAGAAACCCAGGTGGAAGAGTCCAACTCAGCACATCGCCAACTCTGAAGATAAGTCAACAGTCACTGTTCAATGCCCATTTCTCCTCATTCTGTTTTTAACTCACTGGCAAAGAGTCAAAAGCACCTACTCAAGTAACACATTCCACATGTCAGCACTGCACACGGTCCTCACACGTGGAGTGGGTTCAGGAGCCGAGCCAAGTTACCGACCAGTTATAACGACAGGTGCCATTCCGACCACACTCGGAATCAGTGTCCACATCAGCTGACTTGTACACGGGATGCACCTTACACAGTATTTTTCTGTATTTAATGACAGCCATAGTCTGCAAAAGTTTGCACATTAGGTAATGAATGCTGATGATCCATTTTCTGAAGTATCTTTAAAATATTAAATTTTAGAGACAAAGCAAAATCGACCATAAGGTTGAATTCTGTTGATAGTAACACAGAGGTAGGATAATAAACACTGTCCTAAGTTAAGCAAGGATGGTAAGAAATGAAATTTGAGGCCCTGCTAAAAAAAAAAGTTTAACTTTCTAGCCCTGAGTTTCTAATACTATATGAAACTTGTGAAAATTAGTGTTACAAAACAGAAAAACACCTCTGACCAATCCTTCCATCCATGACTATAAAAACATCACCTTCTCTCACACAACTCCATGGGCACAGAGCTAGGCTGTGAAAATAGATGGACACTGGACAAAAGGAATACGGGGGCCAAGGAGCACTGGTTTATAACCAGCAGAGAATCTGTTCCCATTCTTTCCCTCAGAGGTAAGAGGGCAATGTCTGGAGACACCTTTGGTCACTATAACTGGGGAGAAGGAGCTCCTGGCATCTCTGGGTAGAGGTCAGGGATGTTGCCAAATACACTGCACCGGACAGGCTCCCGCTACGATGAATCATCTGGCCTGGTGTGTAAACAGTGCCGATGTTGAGAACCTCGGGTTTAAGGGAATAAAATCCTATAAGCAACATCTTTCAAGCCTGGTTAGATAATATGGCCATAGGCTTAGAATTAGAGAACATAGAAATTTGAATTTCTTGGTAGATGAAAATCAAATTTACTGTGAAAAATTAAAATACTGGACTGATGCCAGAGCTCTACTGTCATTTACAATAATAGAAATAAGGTGGTACAAACCTGTAATCCCAGCACTCTGCGGCCTAAAGGAGGAGAATCACAAGTTTAAGCCCAGCCTGGGCAACACAGTGAGATCCTGCCTCAAAATATAAAAGGGCTGGGGATGTAGCTCAGTGCACAGGCCCTGGGACAATCCCGAGTACTGGAAGGAAAAAAGGAGAAGTTCAAATGATCCCCTAACATAGGAGCCCAGGCATCAGCCTTATCAAGTAGGTCAAGTGTCTAATCTGAGACACATAACAAAGGCATTACATATACTGTAGTGTGTGCAGCAGGAAAGGACGATAAAAGCGTGACTGGGAGACTGCTGAACTTCTCCATGTGGCCAAGCCTCCACTTTCTAATCGCACAGATTCGGACTTTCGTTGCAGGAACAGGGATCCACAGAAAGCATTCAAATATTTGTTGAATGCAAGTGAATGTGAATTTTGTGTAAAATGGACACAGAAAAGCACCTTTCTCTCAGAACCACCAGTGATTAAAAGACATTAAGAAAGTGGAAAAGAGAAAATTAACGTCTACATTACAGAATTCAGAAAAATCAAACACTAAAACTGTAAACTATTCCATAAATAAATTCAATACAAAGTCCTCGTTTTCTATAGTATTCACTTCCAGCGTAACTCTTAGAAATATGCCCACATGTGGCAATAAGGTTTCAAGCCTGCCTACAGGAAGAAGTGCAAACGACAAGATGACCTTCCCACTCCGCGTGTGGGCCTTGAACATTACCAAGGAGCATGGCCTATGGTTCACCAAAGAAATGCTGCCGGCTTTGAATGTGCAGGCGAAGGCTTCTTCCTATCAAGGCGAAAGGAAGCGCTGACGGGTCGGATGAAGTGTTCTTGTCTGGGTTTAGAGCTGATTGTCAAAGCGCTGGTCCCTTTGGACCAGGATGACTCCTACAGAAATCAAGTGATTCTTAAGGGGCAGCTGTAGATTTCTGAAACCTAGGACTACTTATGCAATCATTTTTATAAAACGATCCTCCCCTCTTTCGTTAGATGGGGAAATAAGAATCAGTCGTCTCTAGTAAGAGACTTTAGGCACAATTTGGCAGGAGGTCCCTGACTTCTCTGCGACTCACTCATGACCTGCTCTGGACTTCGTACAGCGACTTGTCAGCGACTCACTCATGACCTGCTCTGGACTTCATCTGATTACTGATCTTGCATTTTCCAGGAAAAAACCTTTTTCTTTCATGATAAATTCTAACCTCTGCATCTAACTATTGCTTTGCCATTCAGAAGTTAAATCATCTCTAATGCTTCACACAGGAGGCAACTCTCTCGCACGCTGCCGTTTGCCTGGGATCCCACCTGAAGCGTCTCTTCTCTCTTCCCGCCACAGCCACTTACACAACACACTTTCTGAGCTGTTCCACGTACAACTTCTCAAAAAAATATGCTTTGAAATATATATGTATATATATATTGGAACACAATCTTCATTTATTGAGAAGTACCAAGTTCAGTCTTCAGTCCATACCCTTCTAACCTTCATGAGGATCAGGACACCAAATCATTGGGGCAAATTGTGATGCCTGTCAGTGGCTGATGATTAGGCTAGAGCTACGACTTCAACTATAAGGAGCCATAAACCAAAAACATGTGCTTCAGGCCAGGGCCACATGAGTCACACGGCCACGCTATCGGTCAAAGGAGGGCCGTGACGGTCATTTTCCCCGCTGACCTGGGTCCCAGAATGACTGACTATACATACACAGTGACTCGTGGCCACACATGTAAACACAACCTAAATTCCAGTTGACAATCTACACGTTTTTTTGAAAAACAAATGAATAAATATAAGGTGGGCTAGAAGGCCTCTGAGATACTAATTCTTCCTTTGTGCACCACAGCTGTTTCCAGCAGGGCTTTGGAGTCTGGGTTCCAAGACTGCCGCTGTACGTATCTCTGAGAGGTGCTGCTTCCACCGCCACGCTCCCTTCAGGACCAACGGCACGATACGTTTGTGCTTCTGAGGCATAGGAGAGGGACCTTCTACAGACTCACAAGCGTGTGTTTTCAAATGTCTGGCTTAAAAATTACTAAGCAAACTGAATAAACAATGTTTGTTCCTTTGCTCTTAAAATGATTGGTGTACATATTTCAATGATGGGGAATGAAGACAAAAATGGAAAAGTTAGTTTCCAAAAAGAGAACGAGACTATACAAAGTCGGTGTTAGCAGTTTTGGGGAGAAACACTGGATAGGTTTAAAAAAACATTGGAAGTGAGATTTCTTTTAAGAACTTTCTGTCCCACACAAAATCCTTAAAATAGAGAATTATACAAACTTATCTACTGTTCTCATGACATTTAAATAAGTTAACACAAAGAGAAAAATATGGTGTTAATTTTCTTCTTCCTCATCCTGTTTAATTACTGGAGTACCTAAAATGAAAAAGAAAATTATTTCTGTTTATTCTCACAGGTTGTTAATTCTAAATGAAAATATTTCCCTACTAACCTAAGAAGCTCTGAGAGGCTGTGAAATGTGACATAATAAAATAGTTCCATGAAGTAATCTCTTAAATTTCACACTCACTAGAAAGGCTCTCAGGAGAATTCACAAGTGAATTAATATAAATACTTACGAACATACAGCTCCCTAACTGTAGAGTTGCAAATAAACATGCCTATGCGTGCCTACAGAAAAATAAGATGGCTAGCACACCTATGATCTCTCTTTCTTCCTTTCCTTTTTGGTGCTGAGGATTAAGCCCAGGATGGTGGGTGTGCCAAGCACACACTCTACCATGGATCTACACCCCCAGGCTTCTTTTTCTTTCAATAGAAAAGAAATATTCATCCACCCAAATACGGTATAAATCATTTAAAAAGAGTCAAACCAATAGCTGTATATTCACAACTCAATTTAGGAAACAGGACATTATTAGTATCTTAGAGGCCTGTTTGCCTCTTCCTGATTATGCCTGTAAGTACCTTCTCCCAAGAGGGAATCCTTCTCCTTCAGTATGTATCTCGAGGGGACAAACATTCTGCGTGGTTCAGTTTATACAGAACTCTGGAGAATACAAACTGATACAAACAGCCAGAAAGCAGAGCAGTGAATTCTTTGGAAGGTGGTGGAGAATGGCAGGAGTGAGGGATTGTAAAGAGGCATAAACACGCTTTGGGAGTGATGTGCACGTCCATTATCTTTATTATAATGATTTCTCAGGCATAGATACCTGTCAAAACTTATCAAATTGTACACTTAAATATGTATGGTTGATTATATATCAATTATACCTCAAGCTGTTCAACTTTTTGTAAAGGAAACGGTTAGTTAAGGGCCCATTAGAGCAATTAACTCCCAATCTGAGGACAGAATGAGCTTATCTCTCCCTAGGGAGGCATAGTAGTATCACCTGTAAAATGTTCTCAACGCCTATGTGGCCTTCCCTTTCTCCCTAGAGACTTGGAGTGTGTCTGTCCCCTATCCCAGGTATGTGGCACCACTTAAGAGCTATTGCCATAGTAAGTTGGGCGGACACAAGGTTTGAGCACTGAGAGAGCTATAGCAGGGGAGGGATGGAGAGACAAAACAGGACTGAAAGATCAGAACCCAGAGAAGCAGGGTGGTTAGGAAGAGAAAACACTTGAGGAAAACTATAAATGATGACTAGGTCCTTTGACGGAAAAGCCGTGTGACTCCTGGTATGAGTATGTCGACGAAGACAGTAAAGAAGCGTGCTTGTGAATGGTCATCGTCATCAGCATCATCACGTGCTGGAGATTACTTTTTCTTTTTGTCTTTTTGAGACAGGGTCTCGCTATGCAGTCCAGGATGGCCTTGAGCTCACTTTGTAGCCCAGGCTGGCCTTGAACTCTTAGTGATCCTCCTGCCTCAGCCTCCCGAGTGCTGGGATTACAGGCATGAGCTACCTTGCCAGGCTTATTTTTTTCTAAGTATTCGCCTTCCTCCCATTCTGTCAGCCTAGTTGGTTCCATGCATGATTGTTTCTGGGACTGGGCGGGAAGTGGACACAGACCGGAAGATTTACTGGCTTTTGTCTCTGAAAATCTTTGCATTTTTTTTAAATCTCTGAAAATCTTAAGACACTGAGAAGACACTGTTTGTGAGAAGATAGAACAACGTGGAAGAGTTGGGGATGGTGATCTTTCCCAGAATAGAAAGAAATTTCCTGAGGGTTGTGGAACAGTAGGAATCCTGGCTGTACTTCCTGGTAACACCACAGGGAGGAGGTAATGTCTGTATTTTTTTGGAAGGAAATAACCCTACGGCTACCAAAGATTTCTCCTCAAAAAAGCACTTCCATAACTCAAGTGTAGTGAGGGTATATACGGTAGGACACGGAAGGATGAGCCTGATGGGCCCTGGGAGTGGAGACTGCAGATTTTTCAGTGCTGACAGTGAGGACAGCTGACTTAAGACCAGAGGGTGTCTCCTCGTGACCTGGGCCTAGAATGACGACACAATCCCAGGGGAGACCTTTAGGGTGACAGACTAAACTTCCTAACAGCCAGATGCATTAAATAAGGAGGTGGTGATCAAAGCGAAACAAATTTATACTACAATATTTATCATACATTTGAGCTTTTGGATTATTAAAATGTTAAATGATTTTAAAAGCACGACATTAAACAAAGTTTACTTCATTCATTCTCGTAACAACACTAAAATGATTCCTCATGATCCTGTTACCATCTCCAGCTTTTATATTACAAATGAACAAGGTTTGGTGAGATTAATTAATTAGCACAATGTCACAAAGACTCAAAGCGGTGAAGCGAGGACAGGACCCAGCAAGTCAGTGATACTGAGTGACATTAACACGAATCTCCGTGGCTGGGGAACTAACAGGAGGAGCAGGGGTACGAGCTAGAACTACAGTTTTGATCCAACTGTGAGAAAGCAACTACTTATCATTTATGTCTACTTGTTCCGCAAAATGTTTCTGTAATTGAGAATAAGCATAAGTTTTTTCTGTGAGATCATGATATAAGAATGATCTTGTATCAGCCCAAACATCCTAGGAGTTTTTCACCCTGCCCTGGCATAGACTGGACCATTAAATTTCTTGTGGATAGAAATGGTCTTTAGGATTAGGGATAACCCATTATTTTCCTTGGTTTTTCTCCTCGTCATGATCTCACGCCCCAAGTCCTGTCTTTCTCCTAGCAAGCGTCTCCGAGCTGGCCGCCCAGTCACTCACCATCCAGCTTTTTGAGCTTGGGCACTCTCTTGGTGGCCTCCTCAATCCAGTTACCCTCAGCAGTGTGTTTCTCTTCCAGAGGGTTGCCGACGAACACCAGGTCTTCCAGGCACGGCAGGTCTGTCAGCTTCACAAACTCAGCTGTAAGAACAAAGAGCGCTTTCCACATTAAAACGGTAAGTTTTACTGTTGTAATTTTGGAGACTGAATTCCAAATCGCTACCCTCAATTTGTGATTATTCAGGACAACTAGTTGTTCAAGACTGTGAAGAAGGTTAGGGAAATTTTACTATATGAAGTTATTGTCTGAGGACATTATGGGATGGGAGGGGGAAAAAGTCTTTCTCTTCTACCTTTAACTGCTAGCCTAAGGAGGGGCAGGCAGAGGAGACAGGGTCAGGACGGAAAAGGACTAGTCGGTCTACAGCAATAAACCTTCTCTTGGTTGTGCTGCATTGGTGTAGGCTGAGCTAAACTGCTATTCCTTCATCCTCACATTCTCTCTTTTTTTTGTCTTTTTGAGACAGGGTCTCGCTATGCAGTTCAGACTGGACTTGAACTCGCTTTGTAGCCAGGCTGGCCTGGAACTCACAGCGATCCTCCTGTCTCAGCTTCCTGAGTGCTGGGATTACAGGTGTGCTACCAAACCCAGCCTTCATCCTCAATTCTTAAAGCAACTCATTCAAATCATTACTGCAGAACCTATCATGAAGTGTTATCATTATTAGCCTATAAATAAATTTTCCCCATTAAGCTGTGCACTCCTCAAGGGCAGGGATAGTTTCTATTCCATTATGTACACCAAGGGTCTGGCATCCATCATGCACATAACAGGGCTTTAGTACATGCTCAATTAATAGTATGCAACACAAAAGCAAAGCAATATGGACAGCAAATAAGTCGCCCACTCAAGAATTACTACATTTAAACTGATCCCTTCAGCCTTTGACCAACAGGATAAGGACCTACCTAATTATGTTTGCTCTAAGTAAAAATTTAAATATATATTTCATTCATTTAAAATTTAGGAATTCTTCCAGGGGTATAGCTCAGTGGCATAGTGCCTGCTTGGCAAGCACAAGATCTTGAGTTCAATTTCTAGTACCAAAAAAAAAAAAAAGGCCCTGACTAAAGTTTAGGAATTCCTATACTGTTTCTATAAAAAAATAAGAAATTCTGTAGCCATCTCTCTCTGTGCTTAGAAATAAATGTTTCTAGGATACATCTTCCCCTCTCTCGGGCATGTTCAGAAACGTGAGGTAGACTGTTAGGAAGGCATCACTCTCGGCTCACCCCAGTCTTTCACCAGGTTATTAGACATGTAGAGAATCTTCAGTTTTTTCATTACATGGATCCCTTTCAACTTTTCGATAAAATTGTAGGAGATCCACAGTTCTTCTAAGGTGTCCCCTACAGCTTCCTGTAAAAGAAAGCAATGTAGTTTACGTGCTTAGTTTTAACCTTCCCCTTTTGTCACCTTCATCATAAACACAGACAACAGCTTTCAAAGAAGACTAAGACCTGCCATGCCTGGCCATTTATGGGAGAGCTCACTGTTATGCAGAAGTTTTTTCCCGTTATGGGAATGAAATCGTCTTTCCCTCTGAGCTCTTCCTATTCTCACTGTTTCATTGAGCAACTATTCACAGAACGTTCTTTACCAAGAATAGCTATGCAATTACCAAGCGGAGAAATAATGGCACTGAGTATCATTTTTATTGAATGCTATAGCTTCTAATTACTATGCTATTGATTATATATATTACTTGGGTTTTTTCCCCTGCAGTACTAGGGAATGAACCCATGACCTTCACACTGAGCTTCATTCCCCAGCCCTTTTAAAAATTTTTTACTTTTGAGACAAGGTCTCACTAAGTCACTAAGCTGCCTGGCCAGGCTTGAACTTGAAATTTTCCTGCTTCAGATTCCCAGAGTGTTGAGATTACAAGAATACACCAACATACCCAACTTATTATTTGGGCTTTACATTTAAAGTAGATAAGCTGTTTGGTTTCTCTTATAAGAGAGCCTTTAGGGCTTACTGATTTATTTTGAGACAGGGTCTTGCTATGTAGTGCAGGCTGGCCTTGAACTCGCTTATGTAGCCCAGGCTGCCCTCGAACTCACTGCAGTCCTCCTGTATTGGGATTATAGGCATGCACCACCATGCCCAGTTTAGGGCTTTTTAAAAAACAGCACATTAATATGAAGTAATATAGCAAAGTGTAAAATTCAGGGTTTTCTCAAAATTTATTATAGGAAAGTTTAAACATAAAAAAATTTTATATTAAATGTCCATATGGTTTGCTATGCTTGCCCTGTCACACCTGTCCACCTACCTGTCCTACCATCCAGCAATCCATCTCACCTTTTTGATATATATAACACAGTTTTCATCTTTCTATTATATTATTAAATTAATATTTTCTTTCTTTCTTTTTTTTGTTTTTTTTCTGGTACCGGGAATCGAACTCACGACCTTGCGCTTGCCAGGCAGGCGCTGTGCCGCTGAGCTAAATCCCCAGCCCCAGAGGAGAGGTATTTTTTTTTTTTTGGTTTTATTAAATTAATATAACTACTAAATATTAGTAAAGACTTTCTATTATAGTATAAAGGTTATATACCATTTCGCCTCTTAAATTTTAGATATAATCAATAATTGTAAAAAGATTTTCTTTTACAGACATTAGACAAATGTAGTGTTTTTTTTCTAAAGAAACAAAAAGTTCTAGGCAGGATCAATGGGATGCTCAATCACCTCTTCCCTCCTCCTCCCAATTTATCAACATGCACATCTAGCAGGTGAGCCATAGGTCTACATCCTGGTAACTGCACATTTATTATTTATTTACCCATTTACTTTTGTACTTTTAATGATTATGGAGAGAATAAATGTTCCTGCATTAAGATCCTGAATGCATTTTCCATGATGGCAGAACAAAGGGGAAAATTTCAGAATGGCGTGGTCTGAGTTAGCTCTGTGTGTCATCCTAGCTCCAACATTTCATTTTAGTTTCAGCTTTCCAAACAGAAGATACAATGCTTTCAAAGTAAAGAAATTTTAAAATCAGTCTGTTCAGGCATTCATATATCAGAAACTTGTAATTTAACCAAGCCCTCCTGAGCAGTATCGTGACAGCTCCCCAAGTATGTAATTAATATGTATCTCTATCTATATGCCTATCTCTATCTATCTGAGGAGGAGAATCAGTCTTCAGCAATTTAAATTTTATGAATACATTTTGACTGACCTGGATCCTCATCCTTCTCATGTCTCTAGTTTATACTCTGTGAGGTAGCAGAAAAAAATGCTAATTAAATACGATCTTAGGGGAAGAGTGCATGCCTAGCAGGCACAGGCCCTAGGTTCAATCTGTAGCACCAAAGGAAAAATAAAAAGATTTAGGCTTAATTCTGGGTTCTGCCATTTGTTCAGTGACATTTTATATGTACAGGTAAAGATTCCTGGTTAATTTCACATAGCCAATTTGGTTAATTTTCCAAATGGCCAGTGTGCTGAATTAGTTCTTTTAATGATTTTCCAAAATAAAGTCTTCTTGAAAATGATAGCAATTTTAGATAGGCTAGAACAGCCCCCAGTGAGCTGCCTCTTCTGACCGGGCCCCTTTCCTGACACCACATTCAGCTCTGATTCAATTACCTTTACCAGCCTCACTTCTGAGCACACGAGGCTCCTGGGGGACTACGCCATACAGACCATAAGAGCATTGTAGGTACAAGGTGGGTACCTATCACAACTTGAAACGCACTAAATGATCATCGGCATTTCCACTTTTACTGTATGTAAACATTCAAGGAACTGCTGAAGGATACATACGCAAAGGTGTCACCTGATTTGTAGGAGCAAAAAATCAAACCAACCGAAACATCCAGAAAATAATCTAAGTGGCCAGCAGCACAGGGGTACCGTCACATGGCACACAATGTTTCAGCTAATGAAGAGCTGTACATAGGATGATGCATACCCCAACAGTACATGTGTTATGCCATCTAGGTTCACGTAAGTATGCTCTGGGATATCCTCGCAAGCAAATGATGCATTTCTCAGAGGACATCCCCATCATCAAATGATGCATGAACATCACGGAGGACAGCTGGGCGACTCTCCTTGAAGGAGAAGCAACTGTCTCCATTGTGGCTGAACCTGGCCCCATTTCCATGTACTGATGTGTGCAGAGCTGGCTGGGACTTTTCCTTATCCCTTCAACCGGCTTTAAGCAATGCATATTGGTCCAGCAGAGGAGCTGATGTATAGTCTTTAAAGCAAGGTGACAGGGCAGTGTTTCCCACCCCCACAGCTCCGAAATAAACAAGCGTGACCCGGGCAGGATGGAGAGCCGTGCTCCACGCTGTCAGCTGGGATCCAGCCTCGAGAGAAAAGGCTACGACTTCCCAGGGCATAAAAGACTACACATCAGAGCTGAGACACCAACCCCCAAAACATTAGATACTATCCCAGTTGTCTTAGGCGGATTGCTCTTTCTGCATATCCTTCTCTCTGCATACTGCAGACGTGATTTCAGGCCTCCTACCCAGCCCAGCTCACAGCACTCACCTACTTTCCGCCATTCTCAGTCACTCATCCTCAAGCCACTCCCTTCTTCATGAATTAATAAAATGTGAGTTTGGCCCTGGGTCAAGGCCTTTGTTCTAATCAGCCATTATCCTAGCTGGGCTTAGGACCCCTTGGCTCCCCATAACTACAAATATGGCTTAGTGTCGTCATTCTCAACATGGGTTGCATTGAAAGTGGTAGACTGGAATTAACTTGCTAGAATCCAGTAACTTTTCCATGGGATTACAAATGTAAACTTCCTGGGTCGAGACAAGAACTGGGAAGGGCTCCTTATAAACAAAGTTAAACACATTTTTGTATTTTGGTATTATGGAAAACTACATAGCTATTTAAAAAAGAATGCATTAAATCTGCATGTATTGACATGGAATACATGTCAATGTATTGATATACTGATGAATGAAAAAACAAAATTAGAGAAAAATATGCTTGTATATTATCAGTACAAAGAATATAATATATATAAATATATATATGTGTGAACATGGCTACAGACAAATATCTATTTTCATGTGCACAGAAAAAATTTAAAGTGTACAAAACAATTTCATTTTTGTTACATATGGAATTGGGGGGTAGGAGGGAGGGATAAGACTTTTTTTTGTGATAGGGTCTCACTATGTAGTTCAGTCTGGCCTTGAGCCCATGACAATCTTCCTGTCTCAGCTTCTTGAGTGCTGGGATTAGGGGTATGTGCCACTATGCCCAGCTAGACTTTCATATTATATTTCATCTATTTATGAATTGCTTCTTTTAACAATGAACATTTATTACTTTTAGAATTAAAATTTTAACTTAAGTAATAGTTGTATAATTAGTAATAAAACACTGACTCAAGGGCCGGAGATACAGCTCAGCAGCACAGCACCTGCCTGACAAGCGTGAGGTTGAGAGTTTGATTCCCAGTACCAAAAAAATTTGACTCAATACATATTTATAAAGCACTATTGTAGATGCTGATGAACAAAACTCATGTAGTCATTAGGATTTGTGGGGGTAAGGTGGGGGGTATATGAGAGAGAAAGAATAAATAAGAATTTTGGATACTGATAAGATGAAGAAATAAAACTGTAAGAGGTAAGAGTTGCTGCTCGGAGGGCTGCTATAGACATGGGGAGGCAGGTTGTCAGGTTACCTGTGAGGAGGCACCTCTGAGAGAGACATAAAGGGTAAGAAGGAGCCAGCGCAGTGGAAACCCATGGCAACAGCGTGTTTAAAGCCAAGAGAAAAGTAAATACAAAGACCCTTAGGTAGGAATGGACTTGGTACAGTCAAGGAAGAGAAATAAGCCCAGTGGCTAGCAATTACTAACTAGGAGTAGAGCCCTACAAAATAAGATCAGAAAAGAAGGCAGAAGCTAGACCACACACAAATGGGCCTCTACGGTATCTTAAAGGCTTTCCTAAATAGTTTAAATAAACCTTTGTCCTTAAATTTAAGATTTCATGTTTCACACATCATAGTAATCATTTGTAATTTGCTGATTCAGCTATTTAAATCATGCTAAGATGAAGATGTGTTTGGATGAATAATTCAGCTGTTACGCAAACCTATTTGAAGCATAGCATTTATATCCCCACACAGCTTTATTTTTCTTTAGTTTATACATGTAAGTAGTAAAGCTTTTAGATGCATATACACATGCACACCCCACGCACACACACATACACAATATGTGCTGGAAAGAAAACCAACTGATGATATGTTAATAAGGGCATGTAGAAAGTGCAGAGATTTAGGGCTGGGGAGTAGCTCAGTTGGAGAATGCTTGCTTAGGCATGCATGAAGCCCTGGGTTCAATCCCCACCTCAGGTGAGGAGGTATGATTTTAAATCACAAGAAATTTTAAATCACAAGTATTTAAAAAAATTAAATCACATCCTCTGATCCAAAACCTCCAATGGCTTCACAAGAAACTTGGGGGAAAAAATCTAAAATCTTATCATGGCCTGTAAGGCTCTGTGGGGCCCCAGGCCCAGGTCCTTGTCCAGCACCACTGAGGACCATGCTCCTCTCTCAGTCAGCTCTTGCTCTTGCTCAAGCACCAAGCAGATCAAGGTGTAGGACATTTCCACGTGCTGTTCCCTCAGCCTGTGCGTCTGTTCCCTTGTCAGCTCTACAGCTCTACAGTCTGCATCCTTGCTCCGCAGGGAGGACCTCCCATCACTCTGTCTTCTCTTACTATGCCCACTGCATTCCTCACCACCTGATGCATTATGCAGTTAGCTTTTAGTACAGAGCCCCTAAAGAGAATGTAACTTGTTTAAGAGCAAAGATTGTTTTATATTCTTCCATATCTCTAATGCTTAGGTAAGTGTTCAGGAAATACACCTATGTGGAGTAAATCTCTTGAATGAATGACATAGAAGAATGATTTTGATATATTAAGCTAAGTGGGAATGCAAAACAGTACATAGAGTAGGAATTTCATTATCAACATACCCAATAAACAATCTAAAATAAAAGGTAAAAAGTCAGGTATGGTGTCTGTAATCCCAACACTCTGGGGGGCTGAGGCGGGAGGATAGGAAATCTGAGCCCAGCTCAGGCAACTTAGAGATTTAATAAGTCTGTCTCAAAAGGAATGAACAAACAAACAGGTTGAGGATGTAACTCAGCTCAAAAGCCCTGGGTTCAATCTCCGTAACACAAAAGAGAGAGAGAACAGAGAGAATTAGAGAAAGAGAGAGAGAGAGAGAGAGAGAAGAGAGAATGAAAGAGAATAAAGATGTAAATCAAAATGTTAGCAGTGGTATAGGTACTTTTTATACCTGCTTTCTACTTTTTATATTGAGAGAAAACGTACATGTTTTAAAAAAAGAAGTAACAACCTACCAGTCCATTTAAGTTCTTTATGTTGTTTCTTCCTAAAGACAATATCCTCAAGTTTTCTGTAGTGGAAAGAAAGCATTTTTCCTTATGAGAATCATATTATACAATTGTAGATCTAGCACAATGAAACTTAAATAAACTTTATATAATAAATATCCTTGTAAACAAGCAAAAAAAAAAAAAAAAAAAAAAAAAGCTGTATTAGTAAAAATAAGTAACCAGGAAGGAAATACCACTGACCTATCATCTAAAATAAGCACTACAAATATAATTTCACATCATGCCAATATTAATTTTGAAACTGATTAGTTATGTGGAATGCATGGTCTTCAATGGTTGGCTAGTAAAAATATTATAGAGATAAGAGTAAAGATTTTACATTTATATTTGGGAATATATACATTTCAAATATGTATGAACTTATAGTATAAGAACTCACATGGAAAATAAAAACATATTTATGTTTAGTCCATGTTACTTCATAAAGAATTAGAAGAGAGATGAAATAAATGTAAAAATGTAAATATTTAAAATTTAAATTTAAAATTACTTAAATAATTTAAAAAATCTTTTATTTTCAATCTTTTTTTTTTTTTTTTCCTGTTTTGGGATTGGAGATCAAACCCAGGGCCTTCACCCTAAGCTGCATCCCCAGTTCATTTTCTTATTTTTCACTTTGACACAGGGTCTTGCTAAGTCATCAACTGCCCAGGCTGAGCTTGAATTTATGCTCCTCCTGCTTCAGCCTCCTCTGGGAGGGATTATAGGTATCATGGCCAGCTGTTTTCAACTTAAAAAATAATTAGATTGTAATTTGCTTAAAATAATGCCTGTTTACATTTCTAAAAGAATGCTTCTATTTCTAAATCTATAGGCTATTTCTGGAAGAGAGAGAGGAAAGAAAGAAATAATGGTTGCCTTTAGGAAGAAACTAAAAATTCACGGTCATAAGAACATTTATTTTCCATATAACCTCTTTTGAATCATTTAAATAAAACCATGTGCATATATTACATTTCCAAGTTAAAGACAAAACATTTCTAGTAAAATACAGGAAAACATATTTCTGTTTCAGGAACCTACTGTGATCACTTTTATATAAGTAAAACATTAAGTTTTCACAATTTAAACTTCTATAACTACCTTGTGTAATATGGCTATTTCTGTCTCAAAAACCATTCAGGCCGGCCTTGAACTCACTCTGTAGCCCACACTGGCCTCAAACTCTTGATAATCCTCCTGCCCCCACCTCTGGAGTGCTGGGATTACAGGTGTGCACCATGCCCAGCTACATGTGGCTATTTAATTCAAGTTAAACTTTTAAATTAAAATTTTAGTTTCTCAGATACATTAGCCACATTTCAAGTGCTTAATCACTATATTTAGCTAGTAGCAACTGTACAGGGAGACTACAGATTGTTCTGTTCAATGTCTTATTCTGTAACAACCATAATTCAATAGTAAGAAATAGATCCAATTAACTTCCAGCTCTCTAGGGAAACAACAAAACCTCTCTGAATCTCATTTTACCATATGTATGACAGGGAAATAATAACCTATAAGAATCATATCGATAAGAATAATTTGGGTGTGGTGGTATATGCCTATAACCTCAGCACTTGGGGAGGCAGAGACAGATCACAAGTTTGAGCCCAGCCTGGGCAACTTAGCAATTTTGAGAGACCCTGTTTCAAAATAAAAAGCAGTTTGAGGATGGAGACACAGTTCAGGGTCAGAACACTTGCTTTGCATACACAAAGCCCTGGGTTCAAGCCCCAGGATCAATAAATTTTTTTTTTTTTACTTTTAAAAAGGGCTGAGATATAGCTCAGTGAAAAGATCCTGGGTTTAATCTCCAGTACCAGGGAAAAAAAAGAATAAAAGGATTAAATGAAATGATCATCTAAAACATTCAGTTAAAATGCTTGAGCTATGGCAAGTACAAAATAAATAGCACACACGTGTTATCAGGCACATCTAACTTTGACATACAAGATTAGGGTGGGGCAAAACTGGCTGGCAGGACCAGTTAACTATGAGATCTTGGAACACATGCAGAGAGTTGTTCCCAACGCCCCGTGCGTGGACTTCTCATAACTAAAGCAGGTTTGCGATAGGATCGCCTAGATCTGAGGTAAGCCTGACACGTGGGATCCCAGCACTGCTTCTCAGGACCTGTATGTACAAGTTCTTGCTGGTTTTCTCACCATAAACGGACACAGACACCAAGAAAAGCTTGCTATCATGGTTTTCCTTGCCATAGTCCACCCTCCAGCGCGCACTGTCCCTCCTTTACCTGGGCCGAGCTCGCTCTGCAGAGCCAGTTTCTCCCTCATTCTTCAATTTACTTTTTCAAATCAACTTTGCCACTACTTTTTGCTCATTTCATTCAATTCTGTGCGACAGGAAGAAGCTGGAATCCAACTCCCGGAGAGGGGAGCAACCCAAAACCCAGTAACATTTGATTGGTGAGCCGCTTTTGGAAGGAGCTACCTAATGACACCTCGGTTTTGTTTTAGATTCTCTAATGAGAATCTGTAATGGGAGTGATCTAATTCATATAAAATAGTTTACCTACTGAAGTAAGATCCCATATTATGGGCTAAACTGTGTGTCCTCGCAATTTATATCTCTAAGTCCTTACCCCCAAATCTTAGACTGTGGCTGTATTTGGAGATAGGGGCCTTAAAAAGGTAATCAAGGTAAAATGAGGTCGCGTAAGTAGGCCCTTAATCCAATATGCCTGCTAAATTTAGAAGAGAAAAGCAGGACACAGGGACAGGGGGGAAATTATGTGAAGACAGGAGAAGCCAAAGAGGAGAAGCCAAAGGAAAAGCCAAACCAAGAGCTATCTACAAGTCAAAGACAGCCTCAGAGGATATTCACTCTGTTAAAAGTCGGATCTCAGACTTCTAGTCTGTAGCTCTACAAGAGAACACATTTCTACTATTTCAGCCGCCCAGTCTCTGCAAGTTTGTTTTGGAAGCTGTAGCAAACTAATACATCCCACATAACTATAAATTTATGAAAACTAAATATTTTTAAACAATCATGTAACTTCTTTAAAGCTTACTGATCTAGGAGAATCACTGTTTTCTATTACTGTTTTTATCCCATTCGCCTCCACTCTCTTCAACCCTTCCCCTCCTTTTATTACTATTTTGCTATTTCATGCAGTAGCAAAGGATTACTAAGGGCTGTGGATGTCAAGTGCATGCCTATCGTGCACAAGGCCTTAGACCTGATCTCCAGCACTGCAAGAAAGAAAGGAAGGAAGAAAGAAAGAGAATTTATTTAAAAATGTATTCATTCAATACATACTTACTGGATTTCTACTATATGCCATGAACAGTAAAAAGCACTGTAATCTTGTAGTGAATAATACATATAAAAATTCCTGGTCGCACGAGTAGGTTTAGCCAGGAGGCAGGGGAAGATACCAGGACTCAGTTTTGGATATGCTGAGTATGAAATGTCCACTAGATGTCCAGGGGGATTCAGACAACTGAATATGTTAATCAGGAGTTCAGAGAAGACCTCAGAACTATAGACTTAAATCCGGGAGCCGTCAGCACACAGATGGTAAAGCCATGACTCTGGATAAGACAGACAGTCCAGGGAATAAGCAAAGATAAAAGAGAAGAGATTCCACAGCTGAGTGCATGGGCCTCCAACACTTACAATTCAGGAACATGAAACTGGGAAGGACAGGCCAGAAAGACAGGAGGAAATCAATACTGACCGCACTTCAAAGAGGAAAAAGAAATAATCCATGTCAAAGTACACTGACAGATCAACTATGAAGATGAGCTTGATTCCTGATAATAAATACATGACACTCTCTCAAAGATAACGTCTAATTTGACATATAGAAGTTCTTTATAAAACATGAAAATGGTAATGAATGGCTCTAAAAATCTTATTGCTCTATACAGAAACAGGTAAATTATGATGTCAGAATTAATAGATTAAATGTTCCAACATAACCATCATGTATTTTCTACATTTTATATGCCATTTAAATAGTGCACTACGGGGGCTGGGGATTTAGCTCAGCGGCAAAGTGCCTGCTTGGCAAGCGCAAGGTCGTGAGTTCGGTTCCCGGTACCGGAGAAAAACCAAAATAAATAAATAAATAAATAAATAAATAGTGCACTACTAGAAGGAAAACACTTGTTTTTCTCCTAAAGTGTCATAATGTAAATCAAACTAGTGTGTTCAAATTTGTATGCTTACTTGTGACCTGCAAGACAAAGTGTAATTGATTTTTAGCAAAGATATAAGGAAATCATTTATCTTCTATTCTTTAAAATGAGATTATTAATATTCACTCTCTGCAACTTTTTAGTCACAGTTTTACACACAGCTTTGCCATGCAGTTTTCCAGCCAGTTTTGTTACAGTAAACTGTCCTTAGGAATATTCGGTCCAAAAACCACCTGTTACAGCGGAACATCTGTATGTCAGGTCTTATCATAGCACGATAGGTAAGACCTCTGTGTTCACGAGAGGACGGGGTAGAAGGCAGGCTAGAGTCACGCATTCAGTCCTTAGAAGGGGTCAGTGAGCTTCTTCTCACTTCCTCTTCACAGATGAACTGTATTCCTTAGCTATAGATCGTAGCAGTATTTGCCTCAAGCCTAACTAAAATGAGTCGAGTAGAACAAATGCCTACATTCTGTCACTCTGTGTCTACAACAGACATCAACCATTGCCAGAGTTTTAAAAATTCTTCCCCATATACTCTTCCTGAGAGTCAGTACAACTGACCAAAATTGGAATATGAGTTAAACACTATTGCCAGCCCTGTGTGGTTTATTAGCCACTATCATTACTCTCAGTCATATATTTAATGAACAGAAAACAGAAATTTATCTGTCATGATAGATACTGTGTTATCAGTGTAGTCTTATTTAAGCAAGTTACTTCAAATACAAATAAACTGAGGCAGAGAATAAAATTAAATATCCTAAATTATCAGTGAGTCAGTAAAACACTGCACATATGCACAGCTCTAGTAGTTACTACTTCTCTTTAGCACAGCATAAATACGGAGTGGCAACTCCGAGGACCACGCTAGAGGGAGACGAGGGATGGAGCAGAAGATGAAAAGATTAGTACGTGATGCTGCCCTCAGAGAACACATTATCTAAAGAGAACACATTCCTAAGTATAATAACGGCTAATGTTTAATGAACATTTCATATGAGCCAGGTACAAGTCTAAGTACTATCTGTATACTAACTCATTTAATAGTCACAATAACTATATGAGTAATTATTATTATAATCTAAGGTTGACTATTATAAACAGTCTCAAAAAAGAAGTAATTATGACAGTGGAAATTAGAAAAGTCTTTGGGAGGGTAACATTCAGATGTGACTTTTTTTTTTTGTACTAGGGATTGAACCCAAGGCCTTCACACTGAGCTACATCCCCAGCCCTCTTTTAATTTTTAATTTTGAGACTGGGTCTCACTAAGTCACTAAGTTGCCCAGGTTGGGCTCAAACTTGCAGTCCTCCTGCCTCAGCCTCCCAGAGTGCTGGGATTATAAGTGTGCAGCTCATGTTAGGCTTCTTGCTGTTTTTTGTTTTGAAACAAGTTGATCCGTAGTCAAGCTGGCCTGCAACTTGCTGTTTACCTCAGGCTGGCCTTGAATTCAAGGTCCTCCTGAGTGCTGGGATTAAAGGAGTAAGCTACCATGCCTGGTTTCCAAATGTGACATTCTTAACACTTGTTTCCTAGAGAACTGCTTTCAGTGAGAGGCCACATTAATAAATGTACAAATTCATAAGCGGCACGTGAGGATGTGCATACAGGGGCACAAGCTTTCAGATGATGTTGTAATGTCAGGGGAGCCACTCAAAGGGCTCTGATCTTGGGGAGAGATATGAAAATAATATTTTCAGAAAAAACTTCACTGTTGTGTCAGTGACGAAGAACAGCTGAAGAACAGGATGAAGAAAAAGAGACCAATTTAGGAGGCTATCACAAAAGTCCGAATGCAGCTCC